TGATTACTTTTTTGAGATAACAAGACTGAGATAACAAGACTCAAAACACACCTCTACTCGTTTGCACCTCTACTACCGGTATCATTCAGTCAAAGGCCGAGAAATGAAAGCCATCCTGCACTCCATACTCTGCAATGAGGGATGGCTTTCTATTCTCAACCGAAGACTGTCATTCGATCGTTCGATCGTTTGCACCTCTTCGATCGTTCGATCGTTTGCACCTCTACTATCGGCCGATACTCCTCATCGATCGTTCGATCGCACCTCTACTCTATCAGCTCTGTCGCAATGCTCTGATAGTGAGGCTGTGCAATGAGGCTGCTGTTCTTTTTTAAAGTGCTGTTCTTTTTTTAAAGTGCTGTTCTTAAAGAGTTCTTAAAGAAGCTTTAGTCGTTATGTTCGCTCACCGACTAACCAGCCTCCCGTTAGTCGGTGAGCGAACATAATGACTAAAGCCTTTAGTCCGTGGGACGTTTAGTCGCTTGGGTAGACACCACCTTCAGAGACTAAACTATCGACTAAACTACGAAATATGGCTTAGTCGCTACTTTAGTCGCTTGGGTAGAGAGCGGCCTTACGCCATTATTCATAGAGCTATTTTTGGGTTGCCCCAACTAGGCGAAATCTCACCCTTCTATATTACTGCTTTGGTTGATGTATGCATACCATACCATACATGTGGTGCCTTGGAACTTGCTTGTCTGCCACCATGGCAGCCGAGGTTGCTTTTACCTCGGCAGGTAAACTGCCTGAGTTCTCAACCCCTTTACCTCGGCAGGTAAACTGCCTGAGTTCTCAACCCCTTTAATGCTATTTCCTATTTCCTATTTCCTATTTTCTATTTCCTATTTTCTATTTTCTATTTCCTATTTCCTATTTCCTATTTCCTATTTCCTATTCCGGTGAAGCCAAAGTATAAGGATAGAGATAGTCATAAGCCAACAAAACTGAACATTGATGGTTCAATACAAGTTAGGGGTAGGAATAAATCATTAATATTTAAGGTTAGTGCAATCAGCACAACAGCACAATAAGCCAGCAGGAGCTGTAAAGGTTAGAGTTACAATAAGGGAATGGCAGCTGGTAAATTATAGAGTAGCGGGCGGCAACACACGACGTAGTCGGGTGTTGTCGCCAGGGCTAGCTAATAAAAAGAAGGTTGCAATGAGGGAATGAATGATACCGGGCGGCAACACACGACGTAGTCGGGTGTTGTCGCCAGGGCTGGCTTGAAAGATGGGTGCAATCTCGAACATGATCCTCCTTCTTCTATCTGTCTTTCTGCCGAGGTATCGCAGCTCCCGCTGACTTAGATGAATGAATGAATGAATCGAATCGAATCGAATCGAATCAATCCAATCCAATCCAATCCAATCGAAATGATTTCACTCGATTGAGCATCCGATCTTCGAACTTCGTAGGCTCTGTCACAGTCGTACCGCTCTGACGGTTTATTTTCTGGATCGATAGAGCACACATCCGACCGCTGACCACACACATCACCAGCGACTTCCACTTTGTATCTTGTTGTGGTTGTTTATTTGTTTGTTGTTGCAGACCATGAACAAGACGCGGCGTCGTCGCGTGACGACCAGCGATAACACTGCGGGAGCGTCGGTGTATGAGCTCTATGAGATCCACGGCGATGCGGCTGCGGCATTAGCTGCATGTCCCAACAGCCAAAAGCAGCCACAACCCAACCGACCCGCCACCACGGAAGACTACAACCGAGTGTTGCTCTCGTACATGGCGTCAGATTCTGGTGGATTCAGCAGCAGCAGCAAGGTTAAAATGATTGCTGAAATGGAGAAATGGGAGGATCTCTTTGGCAAAAAAGAAGCCTTTCCAACACTCAAAGCTCGCAAGCGCTCTCGAAATGAGTGGATCGCCGCCTACAACAGAGCTCTCATTTTGCTGGCCAACGGAGATGTCGTCAAATCAAACCAAGTCTGTTCCGAAAAGTTGAACTCAATGGTCACGGGAAAGAAAAAGTCATCCAACGACATGTCCATGGTCTGCACCCGCATGGGATTTCTCTTTTTGGAAGGCATTTTGGCCAACTCAATTGCTTCCAACTCGGGGGTTTGTGACTTTGATGGTGCCTTGACGGCTGCATCAGTCATTGAATGGTTGGAAATGCAAGAACCTGAATCAGATCCTCAATTCAAATTCCTTCTAGCACTCTACAAAAGCCGAATGGACTTTGCGGAAAGGGACGACGCAGGAAAGCATTTCGACGCTAAGATTCGATCCGCGAGAAAGGAACTCAAAACTGCCATGGAAGTCTTTCAGCACAAACTTAGACCCTCCAACTCTGGAGAGGACTCACTGGCTTCATCTCTAGAAGCTGACTCTGAAGTTCACAATATTTCTAGCCAGCAACAGCAAAACAATCCCCCCATGTCCTTGGTGTTGCAGAAGCAGAACCAAGCTGCGCTCAATTTGAAAGCCAACGTGGAACTCAAGAAAAATCCCAAGAAGTCTTTGATTCTTCTGGCTGAGGCATTGGCTGCCTCACCCGAGGACTCTTTTTATGACGCTATGCATGCCAATAACCTGGCCTTGGTCTACGAGACAAATCTCAAGCGCCACCTCGCAATTCATGCCATTGGCAAGGCGTTGCGTGTGGATCTCCAAAAGCCTAACTTCCAGTCGGATGGCACTGCTCGTCCTGATCCTACCTTGGTGACATTGTACAACTCGGCACTTTGTTCGTTGCAAGCACGCAAGTTTCTTTCCGCTTACGAATGCATGAGCGTTTGCATCAAGCATTCACGAGTCTTTTGTAAGCGCCCCAGGTGCTGGCTTCTCCTGGCGGAGGCTTGCATTGGACTTCACGCTGAAGACAAGAAAGGAGCTGCTTCCAATCTGTTGTCCAAAGTGGAAGTGCAGGGGTAAGGGTATTGCTTGGAGACACCAGTAAGAATTGTATTGCGCCTGTTGTCTGACAAACTGTTGAATATGACTGTCGTTGTCTGTTACCAGGGAAGCGAAAGGTCTTTTGATTCAAACTATTCCTTGTCATGAAACTCAGGCCGAGGATACAAAGGCAGAGGAAGACAGCGGCGAGCTGGAGTCTTTAAAGAAGGCGCCACTACTGCGTGCTAGAACCTGCTTGGAAACTGCTCTTCATTTGCTCACGGAGGGGAAGGCTATTGATGAACACGCCCTTGACTCGACGCAGCTGGCATTGTCCTATGTCTCTCTTGAGCTTCGTGACTTTCCCAGGGCCCTCGTATTGGCCCGTGCTGTCATTGGCGAAGATCCTTCCGACGAGGCCAAGGGGGCACCCAACCCGGCTGAACCGAAAGATCGTTATAAGCTTCGCAAGATGGCAACGGCGCGAATGTACGCTTCCGAGGCATCATGTGCTCTGGGTTCTCCAGATACTGGAATGAAATTCCTGGTCGGAACAGGTGGCAATGATGCATTCGATCGATTGGCTTCTGAGCTTGGAGGAGTCACGGTCAAAGTTGCGGCAAGCAGTGTCACTGGTAAAGCGCGACTTGCCAGAGCCCAGTGCATGGTTCGCACGTCAGCGAGTGCCGCTTCAGCAGTGTTGGGCTCTGTGGCACCAGCGAAGCAGCTCGCAATGTCGGCTCAGGCCATGGAAGATGCCTATTCTTCCTCGAGAGAAGGTTCTATCTCGCGCAAGGCTCTTGTCTATTGCATGCTTCGCGAAGCCAATTGCAGTGCTGCCTTGTCTTTGTTGAAGTCGTTGACTTAGGCGGCATCCCCTTGCTAGTAGCTTGTGGATGGCTTGGTCTGCCTGATGCGCTGTACGAGGGTTGCAGGTGCCGGTACCGGTCGGTAATGAGGCTTGAGCGGGGTTTCTCGACTGTGGGAACGTAGAGCATCTAAGGCACACACGCGTGCCCATTGCGTTAGTGCGGAGTTTTGCAGTTGCAACAGTAATAACAGTACTTGATTAGGATCATTGAAACTGTGACCTTGGACCCTTTAGATATGGCTATCATGCTTGGGGTATTAATAGCACAACAAGGGGATTCACTGTGCGCACTCCACAGGGCCAAAAGAATTTTTTTGAAAAGCTTTTCGTGTCGGCACGGACTGAAAAAAAGAAATTTTCAATTTATCACCTCGTTGTTAAGAAAATTGGTCCCCCAATTTACATTCCAGACCAAAGCAATAGGTACGGTACCACAAATAATACGACTGTACCGGTACTACATGTAGCTAGTACCTACCGGTACATGTAGAATGTAGATGATGTAATATGAAGTTACCAGATAGTTAATACATAAGTTCTTTCCCGTTCAAAAGAAGAAGGCCATGCATTATTATGCATGACGCTGTCGCTTCCTTGGCCTGAGATCCAAAGTTGCCAAATCGGTTGCCGCCTTTTTATCCCCCGGAGAGAGAACGTCTGCGCACTTGTCTCTTGGGTGCCAGACAAAGCCCAAACTGTCAAGGGCCTTGATGCGTTCTTCCGTAATGTGGCACGGCTTGCCCTCCTTGTACTTCTTGTACTGACGGCGCTGGTGGTGAATCCAAGTACCCAACTTGGGATTCTGAGGATAGTTGGTAGGGACGATGCAGTGGCCGTTTTCGTTCTTGAAGGCGAGCAACTCGTTCAGCCTCTCGAGCCATGTTGCCTCATGAGTGTCCCAGCAAAAGCCGACAGAGTCGAGCTCCCTGCATCGTAGCTCTGTCATGTGTGACTGCTTGCCCTGCTTCATCAAGGTGTAGTGCCTTCGTTGTTCCTTGACCCATAACCCCAACTTTGGGAACTGGGGGTCGTTCAGGGGAACAGAGCAGTGTCCGTGTCGCTGCTTGAATGTCTTGAGGTCAACCATGTGTTTTTCCCAAGCAGCTTCTTGGGCATTCCAAGCAAAGTCAACTTGGTTGAGGAGTTCCACTCGCCTCGCAGTGATGCTGCTCTGGCGGCCATCCCTCATCAATTTGTATTGCTTCCTTTGTTCAGCAACCCAACTTGCCAGCCTCGGGTTCTCAGCAAACCCACGAGGAACGATGCAAGTACCAGTTTTTCGCTTGTATTCCAAGAGCTCCTGGTACATTTCTTCCCACCTCGCGTCCTTGCGGGACATGCCACCAGCGGCAGACTTCCTCTTCAAGTCTTTTTGTTCTGGTTCTTGGATGTCAGTGGCGACAAAGGCATTGCCGTTGTCGACCACACCTTGAGCCTTGGGTGCGACTGGCGCCATTGTTGGGGTCGCTTCGGCCGCCATGAACCCTCCCATGTTTGGAGGACAGCCCAGCAGACGAACAGTCTTGGGCGTGTTATTAACAGCCAACTCGCTTCTGGAAGCAGTGGTCCAAGCAGAACCACCAAAGAGAAAGTTGCCAGCTTCTGGTTTGGGATTGGATGGCACAAGCCGTTCGGAAGAGGGATAAGCGGTCTGTTGCTGCTGCTGAATTTGATTCTGCTGCAGCTGCTGGACTTGAGACTGAAATAGCTGCTGGGACCCACTGAGGCGACGGTGCTGCTGAAGTCTTCGTTCCTGTTCAACAGACAACATCATCTGCAGCAGACTGCTGGTATCATTTCTTGTAGTGGAAGATGGAAGAGACGTTTGGCGTCGAGAGGCATCGGTCATAGTAGACGGAGCACGGAAAGACAAGCCTGGGGAAAGAGGAGGTGCCGTGGTCACCGCAGCAAGAGCCGCAGAGACAGCCATGTTCGGAGTTACCGCCATGGTGGTGGTCTGTGGCAGATGTGTCGAATTCGCTTGCGCCAACTGTCGCACCAATTGGCGCTTGAGGAGCTGCTGGTAGAGCAGACTCTGTTGAGATTTATCGCCAGGCAACATGGCGGACATTGTAGAGCCTTGATAGATCTGTGCGGCGAGAAGAACGGGGTTAGCTTGGCTCATCGTGAGTGATCTCTCAAAAGTGCGGAATGCTTTGCTTACCTGGACCTGGGTGTGGTGTTTCATTGAAAAAAGTGTGAAATGAAGCTGATTGTGTGATTGTGAAGCTTTGACTTGTTTGCGCTTTTGGGAGGTTGCCGCTTGTGCCCCAATCCGAAGAGTTTGGATGCTCGTGGGCTCTGGTACATTTTCTACGCACTTGCACCTTGAATAGTTCGTTTGCAGAGAGGACTCATCCGATTCCAATTTTTTGATCCTTTGTTAGTGGTGCCTTGACGCAAGCGAACCCAGAGGTTGAAGCAGCTGAATGGCGGAAAGTTGTTCCATGTTGGCTTGGCCACTGATCTTGAAGCTTCACGCTTACGCAGAAGTTCAGTCCCCACCCCAAAGCAAAGAGTGCTTATGGGACGCTTTCATCTCGGTTGAACCTCGGTGCCGCTGTTAAATCTAACTCTTTCCGCCAGTTTTCTTTAAACGTCCGCCCGTCAGTCACAGGTGGCATCAATGAGAATTGGCTCATGTTGCCATGGCAAACTTGCACCTGTGTTGATCTCTAGCTAGCTACCAGTGGCTAGCTAGACTCTTGAGGAGGGAGGTCGTATGAAATTGAAACAACCACGATGCCTCCGGCATCAAGACGGAGGACTCTCTAGATCCATGGTACCGTATCACACTGGCCCAACTTTTCCAATACCGCCCTAAAATTGCTTGGGCAGGAGGCATCCTGGGGCTCAAATCTGAGGCAATAAAAAGCTCCAATAATACTCGCCCCTTGTAGTTACTAGTACCTGCTTGGGAGCAGCGTAGCGGCACAGCGTGTAGCAGCATACTGTTTTCGCTTCGAAGATGATAAAAGGAGCGTCCAGCTTGTTCGAATAAAAAGTCAAGCAAGGTACTGGGGAGGTGCGTCTTGTTGGCTGATCCTAGCACTCGTCATCATCAGATTCGATTGAATCATTCGATTCTCTTATCTCTTGGCGCTTGGCGCGAGCAGGATGCGATATCCGTCCTACGATCCTCCTTTGGGAGCTACCAGCCAGACTTAGCGGTTCGGTTCTTGGGATCCAGTACAGGTAAGTTGGCGGCTCGTGTTGGAAACAAGATTGCCTCCCCAAGTTTCCAAATTTTTGTTGGTTGTTGTGCGGCTCAAAAGCCTCCTTAAATCTAGGACTGGAAGATGTTAATTCTGCAGATTGTCTTCTGATGATGGATGTTGAAGCATGTTAAATCTAGAGATTGCCGAAGGATCCTCGCGGAAACTCCAGGATTTTGGTGCGGGGACTGGAGTCGCACCTTTATGGGGGCAGCGGCGGCTTCGTTAGTCAGCGTTGCAAGCTGCTCCGTTCTCGGTTTCGCTCTTCCATTGCAAGTTGCTTCTCCTTTTTGAAAAGCTGATGGCTGTGTTCTGCGGTGTGCGTGCTGAATTCGTGTAACGACCAGATATTAATATCTCTAACCTTAGTGAGCAATGCAGTAAGAACGAACAAACATCATTTACCGAGAATTTAGGATAGGGAAGCAACCGGTACGGTAGTGGGAAAGGGGTCAAGAGGTTCCACATGGGAGGCGAGGGCAAAGGTGCCGGCTAAGACATGGGTGGGTTGGGACCCAGAGCAAAAGAAAGCTTTGGATGACGTGGATATGGCACCGTGTACATGGCTGGTTGGCAAGATGGGTAGACATATTCAAAGCCAGAGCGTGGTGAGCCCACCAGCTGGGAGACCAGGGGACAGAGTTTACTTGGTGGGAAATGGGTAGAGAGAAGTGTTTGGTAGTATGTGGGAACAGATCTTTGGGGGCAGATTGAAGTTGGTTACGAGCAGTTTGGGCAAAAGGGGGAAGGTTGTTGTGCCAAGATGCAGGTGTGGGCGGCAGTGGAAGATGTTTGGTGCCATAGAGGAATGTCTGGACTGGGTTGCCAAGACCTAAGAAGGGGTCAACAGTAAGGGTACCGTAAGCGAATAGTTTCGGCTTGAAGGAGAGCATGAAAGTCCTTGAGGGACAACATTGGTGTTGGTGGCTAGCCAGCTTCTTCCTTGCCAAGTGGGCCGGTTCTACGCTAACCTTAACACGCAACTTAGAGTTCAGGGAGGACTGCAGCCACGCAAAAGGCGACCATGAAGCAAAGCAGCAAACTACAGTATGCATGCTAGCTAGTAAGAAGACAGTTTAGCCAACCACAGCAACAAAAAACAAACCTCGCCGAAGAGGGACAAGCAAGGACCTTGGCACTGCCTCTCTGGGCCTGATCGTCGTTTGGGGTACAGTAGTGCTGTCGTCCAACCTGCCTTCCTGGAATAGTCAGAGGTTGTAGGCGCGTGAATTGAGCGGTTTTTTTTGGCGACAATGGAATCAGCGTCGTCCGCGTCCTTGAAAGGTTCGGCGCAGGTTGTCCATGGTAGCATGAATTGGGAGCCTGTACGAAAGCGCCTTCTTGGGTCTGACCTCAGCGATGCGCTCAAGGCAGCATCTGAGTTGCGAGAAGGGATTGAAATTGTCCACACAACCGAGTTCCCGCTGATGCTCTCGGCACTGCTGCCCGCTTTTTCCTCGATATTGGCTCAGAGAACTCGCCCTAGCCCAGATGTATCCTCCACTGAGAACAAGCTAAGAAGAACAGTTCTGGAAATTATCAGCCGAATGCCCAGCAATGAAGTCCTGAGACCACATGCACCCCATCTAGTGGCACTCTCCATCAGCATTCTCAACACAGACTACGAAGAAAATGCGCTGCTGGCATCACGCATCATTTTTGATTTGTACAAGGTTTACCGATCCTTGCCTCAAGAATACGTCCAACCGTATCTGGATTTTGTCATTTCTTCCTACAGGTCCCTGCCCATGGCCATTCAAAGAAACTTTGCCCTGCTACCACCTCCTGCCCCCGCTGCTGCCACGACCACAGAAGCTCAATCTACCACAACCAGCAACGTCGACGATGCAAAAACTAATCCCCAGCAAAATGCTGCCAAATCTGGGACAGCCAAAACGGAGGCAACGCCCTCCGACAACAACAATCCACAAGTGTCTTCTCCTGCAGCAGCATCCACCACAAAGACAACCGAAGCAAAAAGCACTACTCCCGCTGCAGCATCCACTCCATCTGCCACGCCGGCTGCCGCCGACCCGGCAGGGACTGCCCAAGCAACACCAACTGCTTCGTTGGTGAAATCTCCTGAATCAGCAGTCACGTCCAGCCCCATGAGTCGTCTCAGTGCCACACCTCCAAGACCTCGTTTGGCTCTTCGAGCCAATCTGTCGTTTCGTTGTTTATGTGAACACCCTCTGCTAGTCATGCTCAAATTTCAACTCTATCCAAATACTCTACCACGCAATATTCCAATTCTTGTCCAAGTCATGATGCAAGCCCTCGATCAAAGGCCACCCTCCATGCAATCCTTGGTGGTTCCCCCGAACACAACCATAGACAGTGACAATCGACGCCATTACTTTGCAAAAGCACGTGAGCTTGTAGCTGCTCAGGCCAAGACATTATCCTTCCTCACGTACCTACTGAGAGGGTTTTCAAGAGAGCTCAAACCATACGAAGAGCGACTTGCAGGCAACGTTGTGGCTCTCATGGCCACCTGTCCCAAAGAATCAATCAGTACTCGGAAAGAACTGCTAGTTGCGACCCGACATTTATTGAATAGCGACTTTCGAACAGGTTTCTTTGGCCACGTCGACAAGCTGCTGGACGAACGGGTTCTAATTGGATGCGGTAGCCATCGATATTCGGGGCAAGCTAGTCTTAGGCCGCTGGCCTATACGGCGCTTTCGGATTTGATACACCATGTGAAAACACGCTTGAACATGTCTCAAATGTCGAAGGTTGTCTGCATGTTTTCAAGGATACTCCATGATTCCGCGACTCTCCCGCTTTCGACACAATACACAGCTGTTAGAACTCTGTTGAGTGTCATTGAAATTGTGTTTCAAAACAAAGACCCCAATCCGCAAAAGGGAAGGGACTTGCTGTTCAACATCTTAAGTGCATTAGTCCACAAGCTGGAGACGGTCAAGGAGTACTTGGAATTGGTGAAGAAAAACGTGGATGCGTCCTCCAACAAGCCCAAAAGCGACAGTAGCTATGAACAGATAGATCTGGATTGGACGACCCTGGGTCGGTCTTATGCGCAGCTTGCGACGGACCACCGTGAAAGTTGTGTGGGGGAAAGAAGTGACGCCCGGGATAGGAATTCTTCTTATGATGGAATCTCTGACGCGTCCAACTCTTGGCGGGATCTCAGGAGTATGATTCGGGCAATCGTGGTTGGTCACAAGACTGTGATTTGGTACATCAACAATTATCGTAGTCAACGCGAAAAGGATAAGAGCACCAGATCGAGGGCTGTTTCGTCGGCAGGAACCAACGAAGAAGTGGCGTCGGCATTGCAAAAGATGACAAACTCAGAAAGGGCGCTAATAGACAAGTACATTCTTTTGGCTATTCCTTGCATGCAGTTCTTGAAGGATGGCTGGTCATGCAGCGCTGACCAAAAGACGCAGTCCCTTGCATCGCGGAAGCAGAGCTCTTCATCTGACCAATACCGAGACGTTCTTTCCTACTTTGCGGCTGCGTTTACCACTCTTGACGGATACGACCTCAAGAGGACACTTGGTCGGCGGCTAGACGTGCTTGTCGATGCCATAATTGATGACCCAGCGATGATGGTGATCCCCAGACACCTTCTGAGTTCAAACCCAACAACTAGTTACGAGTTTTGCGCTATCTTGCTGAGGTATTTGGTGGATCGTATGGATGAATTGTCTCTAAAAACTTCAAGAGATATTTGCTTCATCGGCCCTCCCAGGGAACGCAACCTGAGAGAAGTCGAAACGTTGAATCCACAAGTGGAAGAGGCTTTGAAACGTCCAACAGAAGACACTGGAAAAGTCGAAACAAAAGCAGGAACTTACTTGCAGCTCTTTGAGCGGGTGTTGAAATCCTTGACTCTGTACTCTGAAAATGAAGCTGCAGTTCGTCCACATCTACGCGTCATTGTTGCGACCTGCCTTCGGTCATCGATGGAAGAGTCAGACCACTGGCCAGACAGTTACTGCATGCTGCTTCGTTACGTGTTCAGATCGATCTCTGCAGGAAAGTTCGAAGAATCCTACAAAGAACTACTGCCGCTTATCCCAGCGGCGCTGAATGGTTTGTATCGGGTAATGAATGCGACAAAATGCCGCCTCATCAGGAACACATGTGTTGAGTTGTGTTTGACCATTCCAGCTCGGTTATCTTCACTTCTCCCCCACATGAATCTACTGCTCAGAATCATAGTCCAAGCCTTGTCTTCCAGATCGGGTGACTTGGTCAATCTTGGGTAAGGCGGACAAAAAGAAGCCAGATATCCTTGAAGGAGACGTTATGTGTTTCTGACTACTTGATGTTCTCACTATGCTCCACACGAAGCCTCCGCACACTTGAGTTTTGGGTGGACGTGAGTTATGCTTCTGCTTCTATAGATGGCTCTTCATTTGGTGTCATCGAGCATGTGGGGTACATCTAACTTCCTTTCGTTTGTTCTTCAGAACCTCAACCCGGACTACCTTTATCCCGAAATGTCAAGGCAAACCTCTTTGTTCACGCAACTGATGACGGCACTCACTTATCACCTCAAGCCTGCGCCGTACCCCTATGGTTTGTCCCTTCTGTTGCTGGTATTGGGCTCGTTGTCACAACCACACCACGATTGGCTCACGCCATGATGTTCCGCTTTTGCTCTCGTCAGGGCTCTTGACACTCAGGCTCCTCGGAAAGCTGGGGGGCAAGAACCGTCGGTTTCTCAGAGAATCCATGGATATCTGTACAGCCGACAATATTGAAGAAGTGTGGCGTCCAGCGCTGTCAGTCGAGTGTGCTTGGCCGACTGCTTCTGCTGTCGAAGAGAAAGTATCCTCAAATCAAGAGCAAGATGAGGGCAAGGGCAGCCATTTTGAGCTTCCTCTTCCATTGAATCATTGCCTGGCAATGTTGAAACGGTTTGCAGCAATGGAAGGTGCAACCAAAGCAAACAAGCCACCACAAGATGCTTCTTCAACCGAGAGTGCCGAGGCTAGTGGAGACGGTATGTCTCTGGCAGACCCTACCAAACTGTGGGACATAAACGTCGAAGATGTTGATTTTGACTCCTACTTCTCTAATTTCACCGAGCAAACGAAGCAAGTACAAGCGAAGGCTTGCCTGTCAGTAATCTTAACGGCGCTTGCAAACATCCTCGAGGTTAGCGATGAAGGGGGGTGCTCCTTTAAGTTTCTAGACGATTCTGACTTTGACCCTATGGCGACCGACGAAGATGAATGTGATGAGGCAGTCTCCGACCACCGCCCAAGCTCAAATGATCACATTGCTCAAGCGCGGAATCAAGAGTTGCAATGCATCACCCTTTGTGTGCTGTACAGCTGTATCGTTCCTGACATGGGAAGTGAACCCGATGTTCACCTCAAAGGGTTCGCTTCCCACGTGTTTTATGTTGTTCTTAGCTATCACCGCTGCTTTCAGAGAATCGACGCTCATGGAACGAAAATGGATGATGATTTCGGTTCGAAGAATACGGCCGAAACTCATGATGAGACTGGGGACAAAAGTGCGGAAGAAGAGAGGCATGGATCCCTCACTCCGTTTGGGTACTTCCTTACTGTTGGGCGGCTCTGTGGGACGGTTAATCCGTTAACCTTCAACAAAGCGCTCAGCGAATTTCTGGCGTTGGATTCGCTGCGATCAAGTGAAGTTGGCTTAGAGGTCGTGAGGCATCTCCTGATGTTGGCAAAAGAAACGAAGACAGACACCTCTACAACGGTTGGAGACTCGACAAAACCATCCCCCGACTCGGTCGAACCTCTTTTCCAGCGTGGCACCCTTGTCTTTTTCGAGAATCTGTTGAGTCATCTCTGTGAGGTTTGCTTTTCTCACTCTTGGCACCGCCACGAAGGTGTGCATGATGCAATCTGCATGATTTTGGAGGTGCTCGGGAGTTTCTGGGGTCTCAAGTACGAACAAGAGATCATGATGGTTGCCTTCTTTGTTCTCAAGAATGTTCCACGGGAACTGTCAACAACATCAATCAAGGCGTTTCGATTCTTTGTGAAGCTGTCTTGTCGCCTCTATGGCCGGCCAAATGGGATGAACACAGAAAACGGTTTAGTCTGGGACGCTCTTGCTGTGACGTCTGGCAAGGAGTCGGCACCTCCAAAGGAAAGCGCTGACACGGCTCGAGTCAACCAGAAGATGCAAAATCTGTCCCCCTCAGTTCTTCAGATGGCCCTATCTGAACTGGCGTCACCAAAGCAGATTGTGCGGTAAGTGAGAGAGTTTGCGACGAACGTAAAGCATCTTGTCGATCCTGGCACGTGTCTCAGATAGTGTCGTTTCTGCTAATAGGGCCGCGGCGAGGTTCTTGCTGAAGCACTTTATCCCGGCTGAACCAAGTGACTCAAAAGCAAGCATCTTTACGAAGCACCTTTCGTTGATAAGAAGAGTGATATTTTCACGGTCTCTTCGGCTTCTTCCCCTACAAGAGCAGGTTTCGTCGGTAGAAGCCTTGGCCTTTATCGTCAATCAAGCTAGCTCCACTCTCCCACTCACTGATTCACACCAACTCGCGTTCCTCTCCGAGCTGTTGAAAATGTCTTCCGTTGCTGACGGCGAAATGTCGGATGCTGCTTTAAGCTACGTTGTTGACAAGAACGGAAAGGCTTCGAGTGGGAAGAAGTCGACCCAAGGCAACCAAAGACAGGAAAAGTCCCCTTCTCACGCGTCTGCCATCTTCCGTCGCAGAGAGTGTCTCCTGAAGGTTGAAGGAGTCACATTTGTTATCCCCGAAGAGCTCCCTGATGGCGTCCAGCTCCGTGTATCATCCATCTCATTGTTGCGGTCGGTGATTAAGGGGCAGCCCCAAAAGTTTTTCGAGTCTCAGTCCCAAACGCCAATAGGTAAGCCAGCCAGCAGTAGTTTCGCCTTGTAGCTTGTCCTGGTAGAACTGCGCTCAAACTGTCTCCCTCCCATCTCGGACGTCATGCCAGGAAATATTCGGCCCCACGTTGTCTCGCTTCTGTTCCGCTCGCTGGTTTCAAACCCTGTCCCAGCGGTGGTGGCTGCACACGAAGCTTTGCATGAAACCTTGACTCTCAGTGCCACGGAGGGTCAAGGTCAAAAGTCCAGATTGCCGAAGGAGCTTCTTCAGACATGCATTCGTCCAGGCAAGTGCAAGATTATGCTCATTGAGCTCTTCCATGCTACTGCTGTAACTTCCTCACACATCTAGCTATACTGCAACCAACAACAGTTCTTCTCAACCTCCGAGAACATACAAAGCTCTCTGTCCCATTGCTACGAGGGCTTTCCAGACTCCTTTCGTTGCTTTCTTCTTGGTTCAACAAGACTTTGGGCGAGAAGCTTTTGGATCATCTCCAGAAATGGACCGACCCTTCCTCCATCAAATCTCAAAAGATTTGGACTCCAGGCCAAGAGCCTTGTGTTGCTGCTGCCATTATTGATCTGTTCTCACTCCTGCCACACGCTTCACAGTTTGTGGAGCCACTTGTGAAAACGACAATCAAACTGGAAGCTTACTTACCAGGATTCAACGGCCACTTTGTTTCCTCCCCATACAGACGGCCACTTGCTCGTTACTTGAACAAGCACTGTCAGTATACCGTGGGATTCTTCTTTCAACGCTTGAAGGCACCAATCTACAGCGAACTGTTCCAGCACATTGTCAGGCTGGACGAATGCGTCGCACTGCGATCATACCTTAGTGGGCGACAGTGTTCTGTAATGATGCTCAACTTAGCAATGGAGCGACCTCTCGCCATAATTCGATCCGAGAAGGCTCCAACTACACCCAGCACAGCATTGTCAGCAGCGGCATCGTCGCCAAAACCCGGATCGAGCACTGTCGAGTTGTTTCAGTTGCATGGCATTCAAACTGAGTCCGCTCCTCCAGTTCACCCTGAATCAATTCTGAAACAGGATCTCGAAGTAAAGAAAAAGAAATTGCAGGCACTGCAGCAAGCATTCTCTAGAGCAAAAGAAAGTGCACAAAAAGATCCAAAACAGTATAATGCTGCAAAAGCCGCACTGGATAAGGGAACACGAGACCTCACTGAGGCCAAGCAACGATTTGCCGCCGAGTTTGGAAAACCAGGGAGCAAAAACGAGTCGGGGTCAGCCTCATCGACCCTGCGTCCCATGAACACAGGTAAAAGCCGGGATCGTTTATGTCAGGTCGCCTTTTGAAGCCACTCAGCTGATATTATTTTTCCTCCTGCCTTCCTCCAACTCACAGAGAGTCTTGAGCTGCAACATCAAGGCTTCTCATTGATTGGAACTCTTATTTCGAACGACAGCAAGTATCTCCAAGAGCACAACGACGTGGTTCGGGCTTTGCGGTGGTATGTCTTTTGTTGATAAAATTAATGCGATGTTTTGTCAATAACAATGATCCTGACCAATGTTGTCTTCTGACAGGTTGTGGCGATCAAAGGGGCGCTATCTTAGACTCCTCCATGAAGAGAATGTGTCTCCGCGATACCACGAGGAATCATCAATTCTTGTCACATTCCTGATGAAATACGCCCAGTCCTTTCCAAACGATGTGGACGTCTTGTTTGAGCTAATTCGAATCTTCCTCCAACCATCGACACGGGATTTTTCGCTGGTCCGCTTCTTTCTCTGTGACACGGTACGAAACTTACAGCTTGCCCAAAAGAAGCAATTGGTCCAACGCTTTTTTACCCTGTTGGCCGGTGAATCCACTGAGGAAACGAAAGCTTTCTCGATTCAGTTGCTATTGCTACCACTTCTATCGCCTACTGATGACGTGCCAGGAGCCAAGCCCACTAAAGACGACCCACCAGAAGAGAAGGATAAAATGCAGATTGACCAGGTGGCAGCAGACACGCAGGCATTGGTTGATGCGGGTATGATTCAGAAGTTCACAAAAGAAGTTTTGTTTGACAAGGGCCGACCAACGAACTGTGGGGCAGCCTTGGCAGTGGAGCTACTAAGAGTGACCAACTCCATGTTGACCATTGCTCCACAACAGATGAAAGAGTATCAAAAGGACGTCATTCGGTTCTGCTGGACTTTCATCAAAAGCGAGGATGCTATCTGCAAGGCCTGGGGATACATTGTTGTTGCTCATCTGATATCTCTGTTTGAGACGAAACCAAGTGTAATTCTCCAAGTGTATACTGCCCTGCTTCGTTTGCACCAACAAGAGGGCAAGAACTTGGTACGAAAAGCATTGGGGCTGTTGGTTCCGGCCTTGAAGAAGAGGTTGTCCAAAGAAGACTTCAAGAAGAGCATTGAATGTACAAGCAGAATAACGTTTGAAGACGGCAGTGTCCCGCAGTTGGCACACATTTGGCACACGATTGTAGAAAATGCAGATGTATTTGCAGCAGAAAGGGCGACTTTTTTCCGGTACATGGTCAACTCATTGAACCGGTTGGGTCTTCCACCCAACTCATTGCCAGAGAATAGAGCACTGGCGGTTTCGATAGTGGACCTGTTGCTTCAGTGGGATGAATGGGGAGAACAATCTGATTCTGATCAGAAAGGGACGGGGAGGGGAAGAAAGAGAAAGTTTGCCACGACTCTCTTGGACAAGAGTATGGTAAGTGGAAGAACCAAGCGTTATGTATTATTATGAAGACTGCATGCCGCTGAAACATGGAAGTGCTGTTGCTTGTTGGATGGTGTCCAGATCGAAACAATCGGCAATTTCCTCTTGCGGCTCAAGATTCTTTGTGCAGACCCAAAGGTGGATGCTGGGGTCCTAAACTTGGACGTACGAACAATGAAGACCTTTCGTGCGGTACTAAAAAATTGGGAGAACTGCTTGATTCGGCCTATCTATTTTGAGAAGGTGGTGAACTTGTGCAAAGAAGAAATGGCGCTGGAGATATCAAATCTGAAGGAGCTTGAGCACGGAGCTGGAAAGGCCAAGTCACCTCGGAGTGTGTCGATGAAGGCAACACTATCAACAGCTGAAGGAAAGAAAAATGATTCCAAGCTGGTGACTACAGAGATGTTGTTGGCCTGCCTGGACATTTTCACGGCTTTAATGGAGGAAGCGCCCCAAAACAAGTTTCTGGTAGAGAACGGGAGTCTGCTGAAAACAATTCTTGGATCATGTTTCCGACATGCCTGTTTGAGCGAGGGCTATCAGTTACACTCCAAGCTGCGAAACTTCACGGTGGGCTTGTACCGATCCAGTTTGACTCATATCGAAATCTGCACAGAATTGGTGCCTTTTGTGAACTCGTTGCTCGAAGGCCTGATAGCAAGACCCGATGAGTTTAGTTGCAGTTCATCTGTAAGTGAACAGAGTCGACCTTCTGGGTCTCGGGGCAAAGAAAAGGTGCCGGCGGAGGCCAGTGATGCGCGCGATAGTGAGTCACAGCCGATTCAGTTTGCCCTAACGATCATCGAGGAGATCTGCCAAATTCGAAAGGACTGCTTTGCTGTTTTCACGGGAGCTCTTCTCTCGCTTGGATCTCGTCTGTTGAGGAAGCACCTTGCCAGTATATCCGCAAAAAAGCGTCAAGGAGCTGGGCATGCGCATCAAGCAGGGACTTCGGCGATCCCTCATATGCATCCCACTCCCACGGAAGGTATATTGGACAGTATCGAGATAGAGGATCCAAGCCCCAACATTCCTGGTATCGTGGCAAGGCCCATCACGTCGAAGCAAGGTTTTGCGAACTCAACATCGCCTCTCAAAGGCTTGGTGACTGTGGTACGCCTGTTCGAGTCAAGCAATGTGCCCTTCAGTTTATCGGAGAATCGAAGAATGCTGTTTCACATGCTCAGTAGCATTCTCGACAACAGTGACGATGTACGGCTCTTGATGGCTGCTGTAAAGGTTGTTGGGGGTTGGCTGCTCCATGGTGGAGCGCTTACAAACAGAGAACGGCAACTCTTCTTGTGGAAGATCGCATCATTCGACATTCTCAATGGTCTTTCGGACGTAGACGCGCAACCACTGGCTGAATTGATTGCGCACTTTGTCATAAAGAGTCTACGAATGGGAAGAGCTCTTGCCAAGTCTGAAGCTGATGCGGATGATCCGTACAGCGAAGAGTCAATGATTCGGCGAGCACTTACAGCTTGTCTCTTGACCCCCAATCGCAAACTCCGCGGTGAACTCTTGTCTCTGCACGCTGCCCAGGCGTCGGGTACGGAATCCTCTCGAAGTGTCCAAGACATTCTCTGGCATCTGCTTCACAGCGACTATGAAGGCATCTCAAATCGCTGCTGGATTGTCATTTTTGTGGAAGTTTTGTTGAAGTCATGCACGACAATAGGGAGGAAAGGAGAGAGTTCCGAACCATGGCTGCCGACACCGAAATGGGACACTTCGTCTGGAGCTGGGAAGGAACTTGCACGGGAAGCTTTGTCCTCGTTTTATGATGTTGTTGCGAAATTGCAAACCACCTCAAATGCTGTCATACCGTCGCTGCAAGTGCTTGCCCATGGGAACACAACCTTGTGCAGCGATCTCTTCGGCATACTTCTCCCTGCTGCATGGGATGCGCTTCCTAGTGACGGCATGCGACTTGCCTTTGCACCTGCTCTCGAAAAGTTACTTGCCAAGCCCTTCCATTCACAATGTATGAGACTGAGTAGGGGCAGCCCAAATGAACAGGCACCAAGTAATGTTGTTCAACTCCTTCTTGCCGCAGTCGCGAATCTACGGCCCAGACCAATGCTGGATGCGCATCTGCTGGTCTATCTGGCGAGCAATTACAATTGTTGGTATCAAGTGCTTGAGCTCCTTGAGCAGCAGTACACCATCCTCAAAGCCAACAATGCTGACATGGGCTCTGGGAAGCCAGCACCTGAAACGCTATCGGCAATGTTCCAATGTTGCCGAAACTTGGGCGACTGGGAGCTCTGGATGTCTCTTGCCGATGCGTCGTGTAAATTACAGGCCTCAAAAAGGGCTATCTCATTGGAGCAAAAGGGGGCATTCGCTGCTTCAGAAGCCTACAGCAAGCTAGTGCATGGCTACCAAGCAGACGAGCCTCAAGCTCAAAATCCCAGCGACTTTGAACTATCAATGTGGGAGGAGCGCTGGATCGAACTCCAGCAAGAACTCTGCCAGCGAGGCGTGGTTGCAACCTATGCCAAGCTGTCTGAGAATCCACGTTTACAGCTAGAGTCAGCTTGGAAGGCTCAACAATGGGATAAAGTCAGAGAGCAGGTGGCATCGCCAGCTTTAATCACCGCAATGGAAGCAGGAGATCCTATGGTGAAGATATGTGATGCTCTGCTCTCCGTAGCCAACGGGAAACATAGCGAGGTCGAAAACAGTCATGCACAGGCAGCTCAGTTGTGCCTCTACAGGTGGCAGCAGCTACCGAAAATATCCCGGGCTAGCTCTTCTCATTCTGCTTTGCTCCACCAGTTTCATCGACTTGTGGAGATACGAGAATCGGGTCAAATGATGGTAGAAACGAGCAACCACTCCTCTGGGAGGACATTGCCGGATTTGAAAAACCTCTTGAAGTAAGTGCATTGATATGTGGTTTGCAGCTTTGCGGCAGATCAAAGGCTCAGTCTTGTTTTCATGTTGAACACAGTGCATGGAGGCATCGCTTGCCAAACGATTGCGACAAGCTGACCATGTGGGACGATGTGTTCACATGGCGATCACATATGTTCAATGCGGTGACTCGCAACTTTCACTGGAGCGAACCAAATACGCTAGCGACGCTACACGACAAACCTTGGACCGCTATCCGAATTGCCAAGACAGGCAGAAAGCAAGGAGAGCGAACTGTGGCTCTGCAGTTTTTGAATAAGTTGACTGGCAATCGCTCGATGGACGTAAACGATGCTTTTCACAAGCTACGCGAACAGATCCTGATCTATGATAGTGCTGAATCTGATTTAGAAAGAACGGGAGGATTGAATCTCATCAACACCACCAACCTTTCGTTCTTTGATGCAAAGCAAAAGAGCGAACTGTTCCGATTGAAGGCCGTTTTCCTAGCTTCTCTGGGTTTGAGGTCAAAATCCAACCAGGCTTTCTGTCATTCTGTACAAGTATGTCCATCTCATGCCCGTGCATGGGTCAGCTGGGGAGGGTTGTGCAGCCATCTGGGCGCACTAACAGAGAAGCAGATGGAACAGACCGCCGCCAAAAGCGGGTCAGAGCCAAGCAAGGTACATTTATTTGTCACTCGCCCAAATATATCATTGGTCAATAGTACCAACCTAACCCACTCCGTAATGCATGCCATCTCCAAACAGGAAACGAGGGCCAACACGGCAAAGAAGGTTGCCCAGTATCTTGCTCAAAGCATGGGCTGCTATGTAAGTACACCAAGTTTGAGGCTTGAGTCGGCCTCAATCGATGTCAGTTGCTCAAAGCTGCTTCCTTTCGACATGCTGTTCGCTCCTCTTGGCTGCCTACGCTACAGTTCGAAGCCATCCAACTCACCACCGAAGACTGGGCTAGGATTCATTTGCCAAAGTGTTTACTTATGCTGGTGAAAGATGGCGCATCACCAGGGGTTCTTTGCCAAACCCTCGAGAACAGAGGGGGGGAGCTGCCTCCGTGGGTTTGGTTAGCGTGGACGCCATATTTGCTATCTTGTCTCTGCCGCAACGAGCGACGCGCAGCAAAGGCCATTCTTGTTCAGCTTGTGAAACTGTATCCTCAGGCCGTTTACTACGCTCTGAGGTCCTTCTACTTGGAACGTCGTGACGTTGAGAGATCTAAGGGAGCCCCGCCCACCCCTGGTGGGCACATGGGGTCGGTTTCATACGCAGAAGACATGATGTCGACTCTGAGACGGTCTCATGCTTCCTTGTGGAGCTCACTTGAATCGATCCTGGAGGAGCTCATCGTCAAGTTCCGACCATCTTACGAAGAAGAGCTTCTTTCAACGATCACTGCTTTGATCGAGCGAGCAGACTCTCAAGATGCGACAAAAGGCGATGATGCGGACACCATGCTTGCTTCAGTGGCCAAGACGGTAGGTAGAATTGCTGTCAAATTCTTTCGGCCCACCTCAGATGGTGGCTCTAGCAGGAACGACGAGAGAGCAAGGAAGACCGCCGAGTTCAAAGTCAGGTACAAATCCAAATTCGAAACGGACTTCAAGGTTTCTTCCGAGAAAGAACAGCCGGAAAAGGGGCCACAGCTGAGTCTCGAAGAGTATTTGACCATTCTGAAGGGATGGAGGAGGAGGCTGGAGGGACAAGTTGCTTTGACACCAGTGGAGCTTCCTCTGTTGGAATCTTCTCGCTCACTCTCCTTGTTTGCCGCGGACGCACCCGATCTATGGGCAGGTGCGTGTGACACCACGACTAGCAGCGCCAAGTACAATGGGCGCCCGCGAAGTCAGTTTGAAACCGAGGGAAGGTCGAATCAGTCAACCACATCCTCTTCCGAAGCAGCGGCCAGGAAAGCGGCGACAAATGCTGCGAATGCCGTGATTGCTGCCGCCGCACAAGAAGGTGTCGGTGGGCACTATGGTGGAGGCTCCTCCATTGTGGAAATACCAGGTACGTCGGATCAGCTATGGCTTCGCCACGGCTCGAGATCGGTTCTCCTATGGGTTCCCTCATCTGCATGGTCTCTTTCCAGGAATGTATCCACCAAATTGTACCTCAACGTCAGACTTGAAGCCGTGTCCTGAGCTACACGCCAAACTTGTGAGCTTCGGGCCAACTATTAGTGTTCTCCGGCGAGAGCATCTTGTTCGAAGAGTCAGCCTTTTGGGCAGTGATGGGTCGACCTATCACTTCCTCCTGCAGTTTGCAATTCCCTACTGGACAAGAACAGACGAACGAGTGGCCCAGACGCACTTTGTTCTAGACAAATTTTTGCGCAAGAATTGGCGCAGTTTACGGAGGGACCTTTCCCTGGAGCCAACGGCTGTGATCCCGGTTGCTCAGCGTTTGCGGATGACAGCCGATTCCAGCTCACGAATTTCACTCGACGAAATTTACAAGCGAAAATGTCTGGCTGATGGAGAAGATCCTAATGCCGTTGTCAACTTCTTCAATACTGAACTGGCAAAGGCACAGAGTAGAAAGCAGGAGGAGCAAGAGAACCAACAGACAGTTTCGGCGGACGCTCTACGAGTTGAAGTGCTCAAAAAAGCATGTGAGAGAACGGAGGATCAAATCATGCTCCAGTACATGTCTGCATCCTTGGGCAACCCTGAGGCCGTCTTTAATTTTCGAAGGTCATTTGCGGACCAGTTTGCAGCCAACTCACTCTTACAGTATGTTTTCGCTGTCGTGGAGCGCAATCCTTCACGTGTTGTCTTCTCGCAAACTAATGGCAGGGTTCAAAGTCCAGATTTTCGCGTCTCCTATAACAACCAAGGTACGTCTGCTTGCGATGACTGTGGAGTACGAAGGTTTAGAATTGGTGCCAACTGAACAAATCTTCTCATTCCGCTCTTCATGGCTAGGTTTCATTGAGAGCAGAACTATTCCCTTTCGAATGACACCAAATCTCCGTACATCTCTGGGCTTGCCGTTCTTGAGTGGTCGATTTGTTACATCAATGGCAACAGTTGCAGAGGCAGCGAGATCGTCCAAGGACGAGCTTGATCCAATCTGGCGTCTCCTGATGCGGGACGATATAGTTGCCTGGTACTGCAAGTCCATGGCCAAGAGTGATTCTAAGCTTCAGGAGCTAGAGAAGCAGCTGGCCGACAGGGTATCAAAAAACGTTTATTATATGCAAATGCGGTTTGCTGAGTGTTCCCTGCGTGAGAGTGGCAGCAAATCTAGTACCAAGGCAGCAAACACGGCCAAGGATCCCATCGACCAGAAAGTGAGAGACCTCATTGAAATTGCTTCGAGGCCTGACAAGCTAGCCACCATGCCAACCAGCTATCAGGCATGGCTGTGATGTCGATGCGACCAATAAGAGCACACTATCAGCGGTGGTGCTGCCATCCATAGACCAAGCTTACAGTCCAAACCAACCTCTAGCTGGCCACAGGCACACATATTAATAATATACGCAGGAGCTATCATTGCCCTTAAATCTTGGACTTTCCCTTAAACATTCGCAAAAGAAACATTCCTTTAATTACTAAAAAGCTGGTCAGTCCCATTTCCGGGTGGTTGCGATTGCGCTGAGATCAGTCGTAAAGTGTTTTAACAGCTCTGACGGTTTGATGCTCAATTCTGTTCTACCGCTTACTAAAATCTCCCTTGGCCTTCCCACCGCAATCAAGCGACGCAGAAACTTTATCTTCTTCCAGTTTTCCTGTTCGATCTTCCACCATGGTAAGTGCCTGTAGTCTAGAACCTACTAATGACAAACGGTTTTGATGTCAATCCAATTCTAATTTTAAGCCTCTCTATCTCTTTTCTGCAGCCGTTCGTTCGTGTCCAGAAAAGCAAAAGCTACTACTCTCGCTACCAGGTGAAGTTCCGTCGTCGCCGTGAGGGTAAGACGGACTACCGCCAGCGTAAGCGTCTGTGCACCCAAGCCAAGAACAAGTACCAATCCCCCAAGTACCGTCTTGTCGTTCGTTTCACCAACCGCAAGGTGATTTGCCAAATCATCTACGCTCTTGTCGATGGTGATCGTGTCTTGACTCAGGCTTCCTCTACCGAGTTGGGTCGCTACGGATTGAAGGTCGGTCTTAAGAACTATGCCGCTGCCTACTGCACTGGTCTTTTGTGCGCCCGTCGCCTTTTGCAAAAGGTTGGACTGGACGAGACCTACGAGGGCAACACAGAAATCGATGGTGAAGTTGTGAGCACTGAATACGACAAAAAGACATACTATGTTGACGAAGTGGATGAGGACAAGCGTCCTTTCCGTGCTCTTCTTGATGTTGGATGTAAGCCAACCACCAGTGGATGCCGAATCTTTGGAGCTTTGAAGGGAGCTGCTGACGGTGGTCTTGATGTCCCCCACTCCAACAAGCGTTTCCCTGGTTATGATCGTGACGCCAAGGAGTATGATGCCGATATGCACAGGGAACGTATCTTTGGTGGACATGTTGGCGAATACATGGAGTACCTCGAGGAAGAAGATAACCAAAAGTACCAGGAGCACTTTGCTTCCTTCATTGCTGAGGATGTCGCTGCCGACGGTCTTGAGGAGCTCTACGAGGGAGTCCACGAGAAGATCCGTGAGGATCCCACTCCTGCAGAGAAGAAAGACTTCACCCCTGACAAGTCCTTCAAGCGCAAGGCCAAGCTCACTCTTGACGAGAGGAAGGCTCGTGTCCAGGTCAAGAAGGATGCCAAGAAGGCTGAGCTTGAAGCGGACGATGACGAGTAAACTCTAGGCTAATTTTCTTGCTAGTAACTCTTCCTAGGTTCTACTTTTTAGCTATCTTTTTGGCTTTAGTAACTCTTCCAAGGTTCTACATGTACTTGGTTGGTTTTGAAGCTGTCTTTTATTAGTTAGTCAGTCCCAGTAGTTTCAACTGTTGTTTGTCTGCCCCCAAAACAGAGATTTACAAATAGTTGCATTAGTATGCTGCGGTTGATTCTAGCATTCTAGCCAGTCAGTTGAAAATTTACGTACTACGGTTCTGGCCCACCCACCGGAAGATCTCCTTCTTGCCGAGACTGTTGTTCGTCTTTCTCCTCCTCTCCGCGGTCCTCATCAGGATGAGTGTTTGGTAAATCTGCGTCGCTCTGATTCGAGTCGGCACCAACCAGCAGCAGACCGTATTGAGCACCGTCATCGCTCCTGCCAGGACGAAAGACTCCCACGGGAGAACTACTATCGGAGATTGCCGGCTCATTGTCAAGATGATCATGCGAGGAATCCGGTTCACTTCTGCCTTCACTATCTGCCATTGGGTCTGTCTCATCCATTAGGCCTGTCTCACCCCTTTTGGCATTGCCTGTTGTGGCAACTGCATGCCTCTCGCTTGGGCGTATCACGCCAAACATCAGTTTCTTTTTTGAAGAATCCTTTTTGGGTTTCTTCGAGGCCTTTCGAGAAACCTTGACTGTTTCCCAAACGTCATCTTCCGATACCAATGATTTTCTGCAGCAGGGACATTCTGTATTGGACCGACGCTCTAGCCAATTCAAAATACAAGATAGGTGAAAGATGTGATCGCAGACACCTGAACTGTACAGACGTTCACCATGTTCTGAAAAGAGGTAGCGAGGTAAAATGGTTAACAACAAACAAAGAACACGCATTGTGAGGATCACATATCTCAAGCAACTTGAAGATAGATGCTTTTCATTCAGTACATGCACAGCTCTACCCACCATATTCAGAGATGCAGATGGAGCATGTAAGGTTCGTGAGATCCCCCACGGGTATACCGCAGTATTCCTGTGGCGACAGTGCTGATTGAAGGGGATGTGCTTTGTGTTTTGTATTTTTCGATGCCAGGCCTTCTTCCAATGAGCCTGCTGAGGTTTGTTCTTGTTCTTGCTCTTGTGGCTGGCTAAGCGAGGTTGAGTTGTACAGGTTTTCAGAACCCCAAAACATTTTCTCAATGGCCCTTCGCCGTTCGCCCCTAGTCATGTTGCGTTCACTAGGGGGGCGTCTTTGCCGCTGGTCATGACCAAACGCTATAACGTAGCGCCGAAGTATACACCCGAACGGGATGTACAACTGTGTCCTGAACAGGTAGAGATGTCCAAAAGTTTCATCGTCTATGTTGAGCTGACCTCTTGCCCGCATTCTCAGAACAATCAATGCGAGCAGAGCATAGAATGCTGCCACCATCAACCATGTTGCCGCAACAAAGAAGAATATCGCCACTAATATCTCCAAGCCTCTGGGACCTCTATTTTCTTCCACATGATGGTGGTAGGGCGTGTACGGTGGAGGTGCGTTGATGCTCGTCGTATCCGGGTAGGAATGATTTGTAGACAGACTAAAGGTAACAGACACAATGTTGAACCATGCTAGCAAGCTAAGAAGACCCCTTTTCGTCGTCATCTCCTTCCATTATTTTCCTATCTTGGTCGGTTGTTGTACAAATGACATGATGTGTCTGTCTTGTGCAGGAAAACGACAGGAGAGAGAAAATGTGAGCACTCGATTAAATCGGCAAAGCTTTCGGCATAAATCCACAGAAAATGGCTGCTTTGCGTGCGCGCTTGCCATAGTGTTCAAGGAAATTAGGCTACACCTGCATAGCAATTTTTTAAAGGCATAATCTCGACAAGGGTCACATACGAGTGGAGCAAAAACCGCTGAAGAACAAAAAGGAGATTGCTCTTGGCTAACTATTGGACCACGCCATCCTTACGTTTTTGGGATTCTCACACATACCGGTACTGGTACCGGTACCAGTACGCCCGGAGCGGAGATTTAATCTCGCTCCCCATCCTTGGGCTTTTTGGGTTGCCTCCTCTTGGAAGGTATGCATAGCTACCACTCGGAATTGGAACCTTGATTGCCTGGTAGCTAGTAGAGTAGACCTCAGCAGGCAGATTCGGTGAAGGTTAACCTCAAACGCGGTTTGCCTCTTTCATTCGCCACCGCACGAGACCAGCAGCTGGTTAGTCATGGACCTCATAGCGAGGAAATGTATCCTTCTATCCATGGTCCAGATCAAATCGGTTTTGTACCTGCAAGAATTTAAAGTCTTAGGTTCTAGCTACTGGTAGAAGAAACAGCAGAAGTCACAGTATCGAAGGCGCCTACGCTTGGAAGCAGATCAACCAACACGAACATCAAAGATACGGTATGCAGGGTGCAAAGCTCGGGTGTAAAGGGTTTTTGGTGGGAGTCAGCGGTCTCAATCGTGGATACTTTGTTTGTCTTTCAAGCCTCCCCACGCCACTGCTTCTACCGCAGCCAACGAAACCTTACATCTCCTCGCTTACGGTACTATCCAAGGTACCGGTACTACAGCACCTCAAGCCAGTCTTTGTTGCCGCCAAGTGCTAGGAGCTGTGCTAGGTCAGTGGATTCAATTCGATTGATCATACCTCTCCGGTGGACGTCGGCAGTCGGAAGGCAGTGGTTGAGTCCTCATACTGTTTGAAAAGTACCCAGGATCCGATTCAACAGCGTCCATCCCTCATTTTCGAATGGGATTTGTTGCAGAGCGTGGGTTGTATCAATGAGACTTGTTTGATGGAACATCTCTTTGATGGACGAAAATGCGGAACAACTTTCTCGACTACCAGCGGCGCAAGCTTCAGATAGCCAATCAAGTCTCAAACGAGCAGTCGCAGGAGATTGGAAAGTTGAGCGACGAGGAACATACTACAGGTCGTTAAATGAAGAAGATACCCGATCGCTCGGTTTGGAATCAATCTCCCACCTAGTAGCACAGACTATGACAGGATGGTTTTGGAAGTTAGGCCTTGCTACCTTAGTCTCGAAGATGGGCTACAAAACGAACAAACCATTGAATGCGATCTCCTTGGTAGCGAGCGATCTACACCACACAAAGTGTATGCAAGCAAAACGATTCGATTCTCGTTAGTGTAGTCTAGTTGGGATCTTCTAGGAAATTATTGCCTTTCCATAATCAAGCCCACAAGGAACGTGGGAAAAGGCTGGGGCGACGAACGACAGACAACCTGGATTACTCTGAGTGTCCCGGTATACTTCTGTCGACCACTGTCCAAATAAATTGGTGTTCCAATGGGACAAAGAAGAATGTGGAGCGAACACGAACTTTCAAACATTTTTCGTCCACCACCACTGGAATAACCACTGCCCCTGTAGTGACGCAGGCCGGTATCACCAACATCTGCAAAAGCCACGCACCTGCTTGACACTGCGCTATCTTCTTCAAATCTTCTACTCTCGATAGATATGCTACATGCTACTTTAGACTACAACAACCGGCCAAACCAAGGCTAGAAAATTTGCTTCTCGGGATTACTATTGTTGTATCTGCATCTAGCTAGCTACTACAGTCTAGCGCTCCACCGTAGCCAGCCGAGTCGAGTCTTCCGTGACTGGCGCCTCTCTATAGTATCTCTTGATTGTAGAATGCTGCCTTGTTTTATGTTTCCACATGAAGCCTGGACGATGCAAGAATGTGGATGTGGAGAGGGCATAGATGTGGGAGTTAACATTCCGAGTGTAGGTTTCGGCATTCGCCTGCAGGGAGGTTTTTGAAATGCTTACTCTATGTGGAGTGGATGGAATGTGACTCAATCATTTAGGCTGACCATTGGCTGCATGTGGTCTGGTAGCTAAATATGTCGGCTGCAAAGTTGGTCGGACGCGGAGCGCTCTCTTGAACCCTTCATCATTCATTTCGCGGCAATTTTTTAAAAAGAAGTCCCAATAGACAATAGATAATAGATCGAACGCAAAGACGCAGAAGATAACAGTCCAATATTACCTATTACTACCCCCGAGCTAGCTAGCTACCTACCTATCCTTACCTCCAGTGTTATCACCATGGGCCGCCAAGCGTTGGTGTCCCTTGCCTGCCTCTGTGCAGTGCTATTGCAGGTATCTGGTCAAGCCCCTCAAGTAGACAACACGCTGCACGACGATACATCATTGTTGACACCTTCGGAGATCCTCCTCAAGGTGTATGATGAAACAAGAGGCATGCGTTGGGATAAACACGATAATTGGCTACAGAACACGGATGTTTGCACATGGTATGGAATTACCTGCTACACCGCCACCACAACCAGCGATCAACGACGCGTCGGTCACATCCAGAAATTGGATCTCTCTTCCAACCGCTTGTTGGGCACACTGCCCACTGTCGTCTTCCAGCTTCCCTACATTGAGACTATTGATGTTCGTGACAACGCTGATCTTGACGTGACCTTTCTTGGCATTGCAGATGCTCAGTATTTGAAACAAATTGCCTTTAGCAGCACCAACGTGAAGTCCTTGGAGGGTATCCAAGCAGCCACTCAGCTGGAACAACTGCACATTACCAGTCTGGGATTGACCGGAAGTCTTCCTACTCAAATCTTCCAGTTGTCCTCTTTGACTGGATTATTCGCAAACTACAACAAATTCTCCGGCTCCATTGCTTCGGAAATTGGGACCCTGACTTCTTTGGAAGAGATTTATCTGTTTGGCAGCGACCTTTCGGGACAAATCCCCTCGGAATTCGGATTATTGACCAACCTGCAAGTTGCCACAATGGCAGAGAACAGCTTCTCGGGAACGTTGCCCACGGAGCTCAACTCCTTAACCTCCCTTCGGACACTGGCCATTAATCGAGCATTGGGATTGGAGAAAGGATCGGGAATATCCGGCGGCCTGCTTTCCTTTTCCAACCTAAAAGATATCACCGATTTGCGGCTTCAGAATCAGCGATTGTCCGGAGAGATCCCAAGCGACTTTCTCAGTAGCGCACCCAAGCAAGAGGTTGTCAAGGCGGAGCTAAGTGGAAATGCTATTACAGGACCTGTTCCCACCAGTCTAAAGAACCTGAAACGGCTCAATCTGTTCTTGGCAGACAATCAAATATCCGGCGTCCCCGATGCACTGTGCAGCAGTACCAATCATGAAGAGATTGAGAGCTGGATGGGAGGCAACGTAGGATCGTTGGGATGTGATGGCTTTCTTTGTCCCCCAGGCTTTACTGCCCCCAACGGAAGAGCCACGGCCGACACTCCGTGCACTGCTTGTGATGATGTTTCGACGTGGGGATCCACTCGCTGTGCTTCCACCCCGACTACAACCTCGTTGGGATACTCCGAGAGGGAAGTTCTTATCAATCTATACAACAAGATGGGAGGACGCTACTGGAAGAATGATGATGGATGGCTGAACCCAGCTGTGGCTATTTGTGACTGGTTTGGTGTAGAGTGCGTTGACGGAAAAGTGACTGGCTTGGTAATGAAGAACAACGATATGAGCAATTCCCCACCAGAGGAACTCTTTTCACTTCCAGAACTTGCGCACATCAACTTTGAGTCGAACGCAATCGACTTTTTATTCAAGGGAATCGGAAGAGCAAAGAAGCTAGAGAGTCTTTTGCTGACAAGTAGCGATCTGTCTTCACTGGATGATATCGGCGAGCTCAGTCAGACCGCCATTCGAAAGCTGTACTTGTCATCCAGTTTTCTGCATGGAACGCTTCCTTCATCACTCTTCACAATTGCAACTCTTGAAGAACTTGATATTTCTCACAACCGGCTAGTTGGGTCCATTCCTGATTCGATCGGTAACTTGACCAACCTGGTGTTCCTCTCATTGGCAAAGAACGGCCTAAGTGGACAGATCCCGACAACGATTGGAGGTTGTGGAAAGCTAAAAAATCTTGTGGGATCCGACAACGACTTCTCTGGCTCTCTCCCCGAATCCCTTGGTCTTTTGACTCGTTTGGAGAGCATCTCATTGCACCAAACAAACTCTGCCAATGGAATTGGAGGTACGCTTCCTGCCTTTCGTAACCTTGGACAGCTGACATCCCTGCAGCTCGACTCCAATAATTTGGAAGGCAACCTACCGGAGGACTTCCTTCGCAACACCGAAAGAGGCGACTCTGATGAAATTGAAGTGAGACTAAACGACAACAAAATCGGAGGAACCGTTCCAGACGCTTGGGCAAGTCGCTTTGCAACCCTCTTCATCGATCTTTCCGGCAACCGGATTTCTGGCATTGACAGCAGCCTTTGCTCCAGCAACGAATGGAATAGAGGAATGGTTGAATCATACTCATGTGACGGCATCCTGTGTCCACCCGGCAAGTTCAATGAATTTGGAAGGCAAACAGGAATCCAGGCAGTGTGTCGCTCGTGCTCGCACCCAGGGTCCGTGCAGTACTATGGAGCCAAGTCGTGCGATGACAGCGAAAACATTGCAGTGCAAGAATCCTCCGAGTTCGGATACTTGAAGAAGTTTTACGATTCTACAAACGGCAACAACTGGAAGAATCGTGGCGGCTGGATGGTGTCCAGCAATCCCTGCGACAATTGGTATGGCATTCAGTGTGACAACGATGGGAAAGTCGTGTCCATCCAACTCGAATCCAACGGATTGACGGGAACGCCTTCTCTCGACATCTTCAAATTGCCAATGCTTGAGTCTTTGAGCCTCAAGGACAATCAGGTGGCATTTAGCTTCGAGCACATCTCTCAAGCAACGAGCCTTACAGTGCTGCAACTCTCTGGAACGAACCTGGATTCCGTTGCTGGAATTTCAAAGGCATCGTCTCTGACGGAGTTGCACCTTACGGACAATAGTCTCGGCGGAACTTTGTCCACAGAGATCCTGCAGCTCACAAACTTGCGAAAGCTGTACATGAATTTCAATCAGCTAACTGGTGCAATTCCTCCAGGAATCTCGGTGAGTCGAGAAAATGTCTGTCTCCTCGCATCTATCACATTGAACTATATTTTCTCACTGCATCCTTTTTGCTTTGCTTCTCTAATCCAAGGCTCTCGCAAATCTTGAAGAGCTCTTTCTTTTCTCCAATCGTCTCAATGGCCAGTTACCGGCTTCGATAGGGCTGCTTACTCATCTCAAGCGTCTATCTTTGGCAGAAAACTCGTTCTCCGGGACACTTCCACCCGAGCTCAACGATCTGTCGAATCTCGAGGTGCTTTCGATTCAACGAGAAGGTGGCACAGAAGATGCCAACGTGGGCATCAATCAAGGAACCCACAACGATGGAGGCCCCGGCATTTTTGGACCTTTGCCCCCATTGGACAACCTGAAACAACTCCGAAAGCTCTACCTCGGCTCCAACAGTTTTTCGGGCTCCATTCCGTATAATTTTCTGGACGGCATCGAAAACAAGGAACTCTCCATTGAGATTGATTTGATTGGAAATCAGCTCACCGGTGCTGTCCCGCCATCGCTCGCCCAGTTCGGTAGCTTGTCCTTGTACCTAGCCGGCAATAAGATTAGCACCATTGCGGATGGGTTGTGCAAGAAACAGTCGTGGATGCAAGGAACTGTCGCCAACTTCCAATGCGATGCTATTTTGTGCCCTCCCGGAACCTACAGTTCTCGTGGACGCCAGCAAGATAGCAGTTCTCCATGTTCCAACTGTCCGTCTGGCACTCAAGCCGAATTCTATGGTAGCTTCACATGCTTAGGAGAAAGAGATCAGTTTTCTATCTCCGAACGCACCATTCTCGAAGATTTCTTCAAGGAAACGACTGGGGATAACTGGAAGGAAAGTGCAGGGTGGTTGAATTCAGACCAGAGCATTTGCAACTGGGATGGTATCACATGCGTGGATGGCCAGGAAAGCGTTTTGTCCATACTACTGGCTGGAAACGGTTTAGTAGGATCCGTGCCCCAAGAAGTATTCCTCCTACCCAATCTGGAAAAGATCGATCTGTCGCAGAATTCCGTCAACGTAAGCTTCCACGGTGTCGACCAAGCCAGAAAGCTTGAGTACTTGCAGCTTGACGGAAGCAACATTCAATCGCTTGCTGGACTTGAAGCGGCAACCAACCTCAAATTGTTGCATCTCGCGAACAACAAGTTCCCGGGTGTGGATTTTGCCTTTGTGGTTACTTCATTGACGTCATTGGAGTCTCTGGATGCTTCAGGGAATGATGTGAGAGTGCTCCCATCCTTGGGAGGCCATACGAGCCTCAGCTACTTGGCATGTGCGAATTGTGGCTTGACCGGGACAGTCCCAGCCTGGCTCACGACACTCACAAACCTTCGGTATATTCATTTCGAAGGCAACTTGTTTTCTGGAGGGCTTCCTGTTGATATGTCAAGCCTTTCGAACCTGAAGCTCCTCGACTTTGCTGACCAAGTGTCTGCCGGAGGACCGGGGCTTCGGGGAAGCCTCCCTGACTTTGCAGGCATGACCAATCTCCAAGATCTGCACCTCCAATTCAACAACTTCACCGGCTCCATTCCAACAACGTTCCTGCAAGATGTGAATGTCGAAGGAACTGTCACAGTTGACCTCGTTGGCAACTTTATCACTGGAGAAATTCCTCAAAGTCTCAGCCATATCCAGGATATGAACCTGTATCTTGCGGCGAACGAAATTGATAGTATCCCCCAAGAGATTTGTTCAACCTCGTGGAATGAAAAAGACGGATCTGCTTCGGGCTGTGACCACATTCTTTGCGCAAAAGGCACCTTTAACGCGATTGGCCGCGCAACTCCAAAGATCCCCTGCGAAGCTTGTTCCGAAGATGGCTATGCTGTGCACTTTGGAAGTACACAATGTGGCCGTTCATTTGAAAAGAACATTGTTCAAAAATTGTTTGGATTGGGAGGTCATGCATGGACTCAATCCGAAGGCTGGCAGGACCATGCCGACCACTGCTCCTGGTACGGAGTTCAGTGCTACAATGGAGGTTTCCGTGATGGCTACGTCGAAAAGATCGTTCTCGGCGAGAACAACTTGGTTGGCACCCTTTCTGAGGACGTCTGGAACCTGGTGCACCTGAAGGAATTAGATCTCCGGAAAAACGCAGTGGTAGTCACATTTGACGGCATCGGGAACGCAAATAGCCTCGAGTCGTTGCAACTGTCTGAGACCAAGGTTTCCACAATGGCTGGAATCAGTGCTGCTCCCAATTTGCAGTATCTTCACGTCACCAACTGCGAAGTATCTGGTAAGTTCAGAGTCGAGTCGTTGAAGAATGATGCTTTGTTGTTGTCAACCACTCTAACCTATCAAGTTCCCCCCTCTTTTCACGAACAAAGGAAACATTCCTGACGAGTTGTTCGAAATGACACAACTCAAGGCCCTTTACTTGAACTACAATGATTTCGCCGCGACGGTGCCAGCAGCAATCGGGCAGTTGTCGCAGCTGCAGGAACTATACTTGTTCCACAATTCTCTAACCGGAACACTCCCCAGCGAGCTAGGTTTGCTCGAAAGTGTTGAAATCCTTAGCTTGGGCGAAAACCATTTCACGGGTACACTACCACAAGAGCTAAACTCGCTGCAGGAGCTACGTGTTCTTGCTTTGCAACGCGAGGAGCGACAGCAAGACCTGTCTACTCAATCGTTCTTTGTGGTCGTAGAAGACATTGGACTCACAGGGAACCTAATCTCGTTCAACAACACCCCCAAGCTACGCGAGTTGTACTTGAGTGAGAACCATCTCCAAGGAGACATACCGAATGACTTCCTTTTGGCTGTTGGTGATACCAGCGCTACGCTTCGAGTGGATCTTTCATCGAACATCTTTCACGGGACAATTCCAATTTCTCTCGCACGATTTGACGACTTGAGGCTGGATATTACGGGGTACGTAAAGATATCGCGACCCATACTTTGTTTACAGGTATTCGTTCATCATTGTGACTCATCTCCGTTCTCCGCTGCATTCGAATCTTAGAAATAATCTGAGAGATATCCCCAACGAGATTTGCGCTCAGACGTCTTGGTTTGACGGCGAACTTGCATCGGGTTGTGATGCTTTTTTGTGTCCGCCGGGAACCTTCAACGAGTACGGACGTCGCATTGGTGCAACCCAATGTGAAACTTGCAACTTCCGTGGCTCGGCTGGTTTCTACGGTAGTCGCTTCTGCGGTGCACTGTATCCTCAAGGAATGACGGAAGCTTACATGCTGCAACAGGTTTACACAGCTGTTGGGGGCCTTGGCTGGGACAATTCGGACAATTGGCTGAGTGAGGATGTCTCAGTCTGCGGATGGTACGGTGTCACATGTGACAACATCGACGGCCAAGATGTGGTGACCGGACTGTCGCTCGCCAACAACAACTTGGCAGGGCTGGTTCCTTCTATTGTTTTCTATCTTCCGCACCTCAAGAAGCTGGACCTTGGCCGCAACCCTATCTGGGTCAAATTTGATGACATTCAGTATTCTGTGCTAGAAGATCTCTCTCTTGACGAGACAAACTTGGCTTCGCTGGAGGGAATTTCCAAGGCATCCAACCTCAGGACGCTCCGTTTGCAGAAGAACCAACTCTCGGGCACCATCCCAGACGAGCTATACACTCTGGTCAACCTTACGGTTCTAGAGCTCTCGAACTGTGGGATAAATTCACAGCTTTCCGAAGACATTGGAAATCTTCAGAACCTGGTGACACTTCTCTTGGACCGTAATTACCTATTTGGGCAGCTCCCACGAAGCCTCGGTAGTTTGACCCGCCTACATGATCTCTTTTTGTCTGACAACAATTTTTGGGGAACTCTGCCAACAGAAATGAACAACATGGTTTCTCTGGAGTCGATCTTCTTGGATTCATACAACAGAGATGGTGCGGGAGTGAGCGGAACGATCCTGTCCTTCTCAAAGATGCCCAAACTGCGGTCACTTCATTTGGGCGGCAACTCCTTCACTGGGTTCATCCCGCACGACTTGTTTGGAGGTGTGGACAAATTCTCCGATATCGTAGAGATTGACTTGGCATCCAACCATCTCACAGGAAGCATTCCAGCAGGCCTCTTCTCCTTCGAAAAACTCAATCTGGACCTCACTGACAATTACATTGCATCATTGGATAGCAGCTTTTGCTCAAAGTCTTCTTGGCAGCAAGGAATGGTTGGTCAGTTTGGGTGCGACGCCATCCTGTGTCCCGCTGGAACTTACAATTCGAATGGACGGCAGTCTTCTGCGGACACTCCATGCATCCAATGTTCAGGTGACTCGGTGCCTCCGTACGTGGGGCGGACGTCTTGTCTGAGCGATGAAAAGGCAAAAGAGCGACAAATTCTGGTGATGTTGTACAATGCCACTAACGGTCACAACTGGAAGAACAACTATGTAAGAAGACCTCTGGACGTTTCCTCTGGCTGATGCCGACCATCTTCCCTCTTACACTTTTGATGTTGTCAACTTTGCCTTTCTGCAGGCGTGGCTGGACCCCAACAAGGACTACTGTGATTGGTATGGTATCACCTGTGTCGACTCTACTGTCAACTCGATCTTGCTGGGCAGCAATAACTTGTCTGGACGAATCCCCGAAGACATTTTCCAGCTATGGAATCTTCGAGTTCTTTGGTTGTACTCGAATCCCATTGACTTTCGCTTTGATGGCATCCGAAAAGCATCCCGACTAGTTGACCTTCGCCTTGATTCCACTGGACTCAAGTCCCTGGACGGCCTTGAGAATGCTTTGGCATTGCACGAAGTCGATTTTCGTTTCAATCGGCTGGAAGGGGAGCTGCCCGACTTGGCGGGGCTCAGCGACCTCAAGACGTTTTCATGTTCGGCAAACAGGCTGAGTGGACCACTTCCCTCCTTCGCCACGAACACCGAGTTGGTATCGTTGCGAGCAGCCGGCAATGCCTTTTCCGGGTCGCTCCCAGCCTTTGACCGGCATCCTTCGCTATCTGCACTGGATGTCTCTGCCAACGATTTTTCTGGTTCTATCCCCCATAAGCTTCTTGATCTTGCCGACACCACGGCGAGTATCTTCTTGGACCTGTCATCGAACGATTTCACAGGTTCTGTTCCAAAGGAGTTGGAACGTTTCTCGGACCTTACACTCTACCTTCGAGACAATTATATTGATTCCATCCCAGCATCACTTTGCTCCATGCATAATTGGAACCAAGCAGATGTTGGGTTGGATGGCTGCGATGCCATTCTATGCCCACCGCAGACGTTTGCGGCGATTACAGGTCGATCATCAAGGAGTGGTTCCAAATGTGAGCCCTGTGAAGCTGCCCAATACTATGGCTCCACTAGCTGCAGAAGCACCACCGAGATTGCCTCTGATAGCAGTGCTACCTCATCGATGATGGCTCCATATTCCACCTTTGGAGGTTTCCTTCTCTCGGCTATGTCTGTCATAGTCTGTTCTCTTTTCTTTTAATTAATGCACTCACTCATGCTCATGATTGCAGCATCATTTATGATATCGTAAAACCCATTTACTTTAGAAATTATACATCATGCTTATGCAAGACTCTCTCTACCTAAGCTGGTAGTCTTGGTGGCTTTGGAGAAATAGCTTCCTCTTCATCGGCTTGGCAGCCTAGCTAGCTACTAGGACTCCCAATCCAATCCACGCAATACTAGACTAATGCCTTGGTGCCGTTCGGGAAAAGGAGACTGTCAATGGATCCATTCGATTCGATTCGAGCCACGGTTCAATCCCGCACACTGACAGGGAGTGACATGCAGTTCGGTGCACCAAACGGTCCAATTTCGGCCATCAAAGATCGTCGCGAGTGGACAAACTGATCCGCCAAAGACATCGCATTCACCGATCGATCTGTTCCTTCTTCATTAAAGAGTAGACAAGCAACAATCTAGCTAGCTACTAGCTTGTAAGCTATCAAGCAGAAAGAAGGAAAGATGGGAAACGAGACTTCTAGGCACTCGACAAGAAGTTCGGGTTCGCGTCCTTCTACGAGTAAGTCCATGACAGAAGACTCTTCGAGTCAGAGTCCGGTGGAAGTATTGTCTTCTACGTTGTGCAACCTCTGCTCCCCGCTGCTTCCTGGCTCTCATAAGCAAACCGCCCCCTCCATTGATACTACTGCTGCTTCCACTGTGGATCCTTGTTCTTCGATAATGTTACAATCACAATCATCCACAGGCAAGCAAAGGACGGGACGGTCTAGCTATCAACCAACCGGACCACGCCCTCCACGACAGAATAACAATCGCACTGGCACTGGCACCGGCACGGTTCCGGACGATCGCAGTCTCAAGACTAGTATAAAAAATGTTCAGAAAGATGTCTCTATGAAAAGCTCCGACCAAAGAAAGAAACAAGTGATGCCCACGGATGATAGCTGCCACACCTTTGCTGCCAGTTTGGCCACCCAATCTGCTGGTCATCATCGCAGGGGGAATGATTATGTCATGATCACGGATGCACTGTCAGATGTCAGAGTCAAGTGAGTTTCTTTTCTTTTCTCGATTATGATCATTTATTCTGGTGGATTTGCATCATTCATCTAGCTGACCTTAAATTCGCCATTTACTTTTTGCAGCTACCACATTGATGCCAAAGAGATTGGCCATGGACACTATGGAGTGGTCCGTAAATGCAGACACAGAGAATCTGGTGAATGGTATGCCATCAAGTCCATTCGAAAGGCCAAAGTGTCCAAAATTGAAGTTTTGAAACGAGAGATTGATATATTGAAGGAAGTGAGACACCCCAACATCATCCACTTGGTAAGGAATCAGAGATTAGATACGAGTCCTCTTGTCGATCGTTGCCCCAGCCAAACCATCTCAAATGGACTACTCGTTTTTTTTAGGTGGAAGTTTATGAAGATGAACGCTATTTGCATCTTGTTACAGAACTATGTACGGGGGGAGAACTCTTTGATCGCATTATTGCAAAAACACAATCTGCTGAAGGCCATTTCTCGGAACATGATGCTGCCAAACTGGTCAGAGACATTCTAGATGCCATACGATACTGTCACTCCAAAGGCATTGTTCATCGCGATCTCAAGCCAGAGAAGTGAGTGCACCAATGACAGGACACCATACAAGTTCTGGTCAAATCTACAGAAAGAACGACTTTGGTTACTCACACATTTCGTTGGTTGCTTCGTCACCTCAATCGATTTGTAGCTTCCTTTTCTTGACTCCCGCCGAGGACTCTCCCATCAAAATTATTGATTTTGGATTGTCCCGCCATGATGACTCATTCCAAGGAATCATGAAAACAAAGGTGGGCACGCCATACTATGTCGCACCAGAAGTGCTGCGAAGAGAATACACCAACAGTTGTGATATTTGGAGTATTGGTGAGTTGGGTTTGTTTGGAAGGCACATACTGAATGAATGAACTGCCATGGACCTAATCGTGCCTTCTCCCCTTGTACTGCATGGTAGGTGTCATTAGCTATATTTTGCTGTGTGGATACCCTCCTTTTTATGGGGATTCAGATACTCAAATTTTTGATGCAGTGAAAGTGGGCAAGTTTGACTTTCCTTCTCCTGAATGGGACACCATCAGTCAGCTGGCAAAGGATTTTGTCACTGCCTTGTTGAAGAAACTTCCTGTGGACCGGTAGGTGCTAAGTGTTGGAATTTGTGATGATGCCATCCAATCCTTTCTATCTAACCAGCAATGATTAAACAATCTGGTGGCTTCAGACCCACAGCAGAGCAAGCAATGAAGCTGCCTTGGCTAATCAATCAACTCGGAGAGGTACCCCCAGAACGAAATCGGGCACTGTCGTTGCAGCGAGGAAATCGTGGGGCTGAGTTTTCTAAGTATCTGGGAATGAAGAAACTGAAGAAACATGCACTCGGATACATTGCCTCCAATCTAACTCAAGAACAAGTTGGCTATCTTGGAGAAATCTTCAAGAGTATTGATGAGGGGGGAGATGGTGTTCTGACACTGACCGAACTGGATCAGGCAATTGCTAGAGGCAACTTCCCAGCTAGTGTCCAAGATGATTTGAGATCTCTGAGAGATAAGTTGTCACTGTCTGAGGACGCCAAGTTGAATTGGAAGGACTTTCTTTCAGGAACAATAGACAAGACTGTCGCCCTGAGAGAAGACAACATTCGGATGCTCTTCAATCACTTTAACCATGGTGCTGATGCAGATCATCTGAAATTTGAAGATGTGGTTGAAATCTTTGGGGGTGAAGCACAGGCACTAGAGATCATGCAATTTATGGATTCTGATGGTGATGGAGTGATTTCCTATGAAGACTTCAGGAAGGCAGTGGAAGAGAGCATGGCAGAAGTTGACGACGATGACGAAGGTGCTAGCATAAATATCTAGTAAAAATTTTGATAGTTCCCCCCCCTGTACACAAGCTTGCTTTTAGGATTGTTGAGATTCTCATCCTTACATCATGATTTCCAAGCAGTTTTTGGGTAGTTGCAAGAGAGAACTGAGATTGCTGCCTGTGCGGACGGACTACCGGGACGCTGTAGCTTTCGAATTGAAGACAACCGAAACGTTTTTGTACCGGTACGGTAGCTAGCTAGCCGACCAGGGTTCGAGAACTACCAGTACTGGTAGCTTGAGAATGAAGCAGCTACGTCTATTAATAGTACGATGCGAGACAGCTACTTAACAAACTACTACAGCTTCTATTTTCGCTGAGGACAAGCCACCGCCATTTGACCACCGAAGGGCCTCGAACTGAACTTGTCGGGTTCTCTCATGTCCACAAGCAGCGGGAGAAGATCTCCCTTTGATACTTCGCATTTGAGAGATATCTTCGGGAAGCGTTTGATAGAACCAGGGCGTGTGGGTATTCCGACAAGAGTGAGGGCGAAAGAACCGCTATCTGAAAGGACAACTTGACCCTTCAGATCGCCGCTGACCAACCAATCAGCTTCGTCATACTTGATCGCATACAGGAACCTGGGGCTGCCTTCTCCGTCCTCTGGGACGATCTCTTTCTGCAGACTCTTCAGTCCACTGGTATCTATTGAGTATTTGAAATTGACTGGTTCCCCAACGACGCCTTCCACGGCACAATCTTGCAGTTCGATTGCGACACTGCCAAAGCCCGAGAGCTTTGAATCTCGCTTCACGTCGGCGTAAAACGCTGAAAGATCAACTGCAAGGACTTCATTAAAAACGGTCCCAAATTCGTCCTCAAGTTCGACGTGCAGAGCTGGTTCAAGGATCTCATTCATCTTTCCTTCCTTGTTCTCCACAATTTGCTCTCTCCTACAAGTGAATCCAAAAGACAGTACCTCACCTTCAACAACTGGAACATCAAACAAGTCTTGGTTGAGATCACCGCCATCCACGATAACGATTGGTTGGGGCAGTTCGAGAAGCCATGATTTGACATGATACGGTACGGGGGAGTTGCAATTCAGAGACACGCAAATCAAGAATCCGTCAACGGCGGTGGGGAAAACATCAGCTCCCTCTACTGTCAGGACTGGCTTCTCCAGAGTGGGCACCATCGCCTCGAGAACCGTCTTCATGCATGGCATGTTCGACTCGTCCTCGTTGCTGTCAGGTACGTAGTCCGCGTGACGATATAGTGTTGCCACCTTTGCACTCAGAGCTTGGACCTCTTCCGTTGGTGGCATGAGATAAGGATCAGGTGTCCTCACGCTCGTCGTCAGTACAATCGTTTCTCCTGTGCCGCATGGTGGTAGTTTCACGGTGCATGACTCAGTCCAATTGTCGTCGGTTTCTTCTTCGTTTGGGGGAATCAACATGACTCCGGGTGTACATGTAAGGTTGACCGTGCCTTTTGTGATGACATCGGAGCCTGAGTAAAATATTATTCGCACGGGTTGGATGTTGCCTGGCACAAGGAAGTACGGTTCCAAAGTGATGGACTGAGACGGGTCACTGGGCAAAACATCCACTCCCACGAGAGACCTCCGCATTTCAATGCTATCGTAAAAAAACGATGCCTCCTTCCACTTCAGCTCAATTGACGCGAGAATGTACTGTCCGGTGTTGATTGGCACCCATTCAAAGGTAAAAGTGTTGACACCCGATTCGATTACGGTGGGGGATTCTAGTGATAAGACCTTGAATGCGTCTTCCTTCTCAATGGGAGTCTTCGATTCAACCTTGGCGGCGTATGCGCCGAATGCCACCAACGAAAGGTTGACGACATCAACATTGATGGCTTTTGGTAAGAAACTTGAAGTAGTCAGTGTGATTCGTACGGTTTCACCGACGGTACAGAATTTCTTGTTCAGCTGCTTTCTTTCCGGTCCAAATGCCATTGACGCCTCATCATCGCACGACGTTTTCTGTACCTCAAGCCTCGCTGCCAGAAACGGCACCGACCTGAACAAGGACCCGGTGATTGATTCGTCTCCAACAACTGCTTCCAGGTCTCCCAGAAGAATTCCTAGTGCCTTTGACGGCGCCACATTGGAAATGTTTGGGCCAAAGCAATTCACGAGCGTTTTCAAGTAATCTGCGGGTGGTCCAACCCGTCTTTGGCAACTCGCAAGACGAAGCAACCGCCAAAAATGACATTTGTCCCACTGATCTTTCCCAAGGATGTTCACCGTAGAAATCAGCGTGTTGATTGCATCTTTGTACTCTCCTCGGCAAATGAGAATTTCAGCCAGTTCGCCCTGCAGCCTTGCTGCAATTCTCTGACGCCCAGCGAACAGGCCAAAGGTGGCAATTGCTGATGCCATTTCCACGTACTTGGAAACATAGGAATCAGGTGACGAGAACACACCATCTAAGAATTCATCTCTGGAGGAATAAAAGTTCTCGTCGTCGGTGCTAGACTTTCCAGCGTAATCCTTGTGCCATGAAGGGTCCCATGGTTCCCAAGGTTTCCGCATATCCACCGGCGTGCCACCGAAGTGGTTTCGTACAGGATTAGACCCTTCGATTTTGGCATCACCAAGCTGCAGCAATCGGAGTCGGCCAAATTCCAGGAGCGACGATATCTCACGAGCCAAGGACCGTTCGGTCAAAATCGTGTGTACATCGGGATTTCTCACGGGCGCGTATTCTCCGTAAAGCGACGCCTTTGAGGAAGGATTCATCAAAGTAAAGTAGGGTTCACTAGCGCATTTGACATCCCAGCAAAACGTCAAGGCCCATTCCTCTGCGTGGTTGCGTTGTTCCTGTTTCTCGTCGTCTTCTTTGGCATGCGAGGCGGCTCTCAAATGAAAGTTGTACATGGTATCTGCAAACGCGTGGCATCTTTTGACGAGTTCGACAGGTTGCTTCATCTTGAAGAGGAGACTAATCTCTCGCGCAAATATGTATTGCTCCACGACATGGGCAATGGGCTTCAAGTTCTCAGTTTTTTCGATGGTGCGCATCCGCTTTCGAAAACTCTGAATATCTCCTGCCACGGCGACTTCCAATGCGGAATTACCAGCCAAACTGGATCGACGCTTTCTGGACTTTTTTCGTTCTTCGATGGTGGCCTCCCCGATGTCAGGAAGGAATGCTCTCAATTCGGAGTATTGCAGCAAGGCCTCTGTCGGGAGATGCATCTGTTCGTAGGTAAATGCCAGACTTTCCTTGACGAGAAAGAAATAGCTGAGATCCATCCCTCCACCCCTCTTGGACCCTTGTTCGTCTGACCCTTTCCGTCCTCTGGACGCCATGGGCGACCTGTTTGCCCCGGCCGTTCCCGGAAGCATCTGGAGTCGTCTGAGTTCTTCGTCATAGCGACGGCATCGATCCTTGAACCCGTCGACAATGGCATTACCCAAGGCACGCATAAAAGAATTCCATTCTTGCTGTTTTAAAGTCGCCACTTTCGGATCTTCTGGCGTGGGGCCATCCAGTAGAGTGGACAGGATGCAAGTTGTTCCATTGGGGAAATCAGAATTGAATTTTCTGAACAATTCTTTGTCCTGCTTTGAGAAGAGCATGCCACTGGTAGATGCCGAAGTGGATGAATTCATACTGACATCCAAAGGATCAGTGGTATCCATGTCGCTGGAATCGGTCACTGAGGTCGCCACGCTATGGACCGAATTGTCGGGCACATCTCTCCCAGGACCTGTCATTCTTTGTCTGGCAGTCGCCAATCTGGACAAGGCGGCGCCCATTCGACCTCCTCCACTCTGTTCACCAGATTCCGACCTCGTTCTAGGTCCAACTGGGACAAACACAATAATGTAATGGGAGCTGTAATTTCCACCCGAAGGAGGACCCGATCCATCTCCAGAGGAAGAATTGTAATTGTTGGCCGCACTCTCGATCTGACTGACAAACGCCTGAACGGCAGGTCGGACTTTGTTTCGATAGGAGTGCATATTTTCACAGGCCGCAATGTAGACGTGACAGAAAGGACCATTGTGCCATTCCGCGGGGTCACTGACGGCTGCGGCCGCGGTGCCACCCCATGGCGTCAATGCTTCTCCATTGGCGCCTGCTGTGGCATGGCTTTTAGTGAGGACTGGCTTGACCGACAATTCTTCAATCACTTCATTTCTTCCACTGCGAATATGCTTATAGGGCACCTGGCGTAGGGAGGAACGGTACTCCTCCTCGAAAGCGGTGGTCAATTTTTCGTAGAGTTCCAGCGGTGCCTTGGCTGGAGGGGTTTTGCCTTTGGCGTCTCCTACTGAGGTTGGATCGATGAAATTGACAGTCACATAGTTATTCATCGTCTTTGGATCGGCCTTTCCTTCCTCAGTCTCCCCATCCTTTTCCGCTTCGCTCTCAGCGATTAATTTGCCCACAATGTCGTCGTTGTCGTCCTCTTCACCATCCATGGCCTTGCGCAACTCGGCAAATCCATCTCGAATCGTCCGAAATTGGATGCTAGCCGCGTCCATCTTCACATCCTTGTCCTTGACATCGTCATCTTCGTCGTCAGCCATCTTCTCGGGTGTCTTTCTTGCAGGGTGGTCTTTAAGACCAGATAGATTGGGATCAAAAGCCAACGGCTCGACTGAGGCGGATTGAGGATACCGCTATGGTAACAGCAAAAATAAGACAAGGTTTAAAGATACTGGACTCGAGCTTAGTGTCGCGGTGTGATCTAGTCAGAGTATCAAAATATAGTTCAAGCATCTTGAGCCGTTGCGGTATCCAAAGACAATACAAGAACAAACCCCAGCAACAATATCCAATATCCATCTCACCTATGATAAAGGGGATGTGCATCTGCTATTAATAATGCTGAGCTATGAATGGTGTGTTACTTGAATGAGCCTATCCTTCGGGATGTCGAGCTACCAAAAGAAGCTGATGAATAGATGCAGCTATGCATAGGCTGAGTGGCAACTTTCTTTCTAGACACTTGGTGTAGGCTGGTAGTTCCTGATGGTGAGAATCAGGATCTATCCAGCAAGGAAATTTCCTCTGATTATTATTGTAAGACAGGTCTTGCTACACAGACTTTTCTATTCACAGTCATGAAGGAGCTGCAGTAGCTTACATAGCACAATCATACACCAACATGTTGTGTCTCCTGCATCACCCCAACACGCAAATGCCGTATTATGCACATGTTGGTGTGTCTCCTGCGTCACCCCAACACGCAAATGCCGTATCATGCACATTTAACTGCATCAACTTATTATTGAATCAGTCATCATCTAGCACAATGGCTTGGCTACTTGT